CTCCCTCCTTTTTCATTTTCCTTTTTTCCTTTTTTCCTTTTTTCCTTTTTTCCTTTTTTCCTTTTTTCCTTGTTTCCTTTTTTCCTTCTTTTCCTTCTTTCCTTCTTTTCCTTCTTTTCTTTCTTTTCCTTCTTTTCTTTCTTTTCCTTTTCCTTTTTCCTTTTTCCAACCCACTCCAATATACCACTCTGATGAATAAGTACACATGTGTTTGGCTGGCCTTCTGTTCCTGGTTTGGTGGCTTCCTGGCACCTGTGTTGCCCACGACCTTCCTTTTCCAACTCCCTTTCTGTAGATCAAATGTTATCAACCATTTCTTCTGTGATGCTCCACCTATATTGAAATTCTCCTGCAAGGACATATTTGTGGTTGAGGTAATCAATTTCATTGTGGGGTCAGTTGTGTTGCTCGCCTCTTTCTGTTTCATAACTGTCACATATATCTTCATCATTAACACTATACTACACATTCCTTCTACCGAGGGGCAAAAAAAGGCATTTTCCACATGTGCTATGCACCTTACCATTGTCATCATTTTCTTTGGAACCACCGTCTTTATGGACATCGGCACAAAGACAATCCATACTTTTAACTTCAACAAGTCTTTGTGTTCTACTCTGTTGTAACACCTGTCCTCAACCCTATCATCTATAGCCTGAGAAACAGTGATATTAAAGGAGCAATGTTGAATGTGCTGTTGTACAGGAAGGGATCCATGTTTAAGTGATAGCAAATAAAGAACACATGAACCACGGGTCAGATTGCCCATGACCCTGGAATACTGAAATTAAGAAGGCTCCAGCATATCCATAAAATTCCAAATCTTTGTCTGTCCAACTATTAGCATCATGTTGTTAATATTTGCTGCAAAATTTGGTAAAATTCAGTGTGTTTGTAGAGCCCCTTACATTTTTCTAATTGTTATGGTTGTTTTTTAGTCCAGGTTATGTTTTGTCTTCTTGTTTTTTAACTGTTTTAATTGTATGTTCCCCCCAAGTCCTGCTCTGTTCCCCTATTGCAGCAGGGGGTGTTCCTGGGTAGGATGATCATAGAAATCTGAGGATATATGCCAAAAGTATCCATTCCCAGCAGGGTCATTCAAGGCATGAAGTTCATCTCAGATGCCCAGTTAAAGTAAGCAGGCCCCTATATTGGGCAGCAGCGGTATAGGAAAATGCCAGACACAGATGACCACTTTGGTGACAACAGCAAAGGCATTCATTCGCACTGCACAGCAGAAGGCAATCGTAAACCGCTTCTGTATTTTTAATCAAGAAAACCACATGGGTAGAAAATACAAAATGATTAACTATATATAAATGGAAGCTGGATTGGAAGAAGATGAGCTTGGCTTTCAAATTGGTGAAAGAAACATCAATGACCTGCATGGTACTGATGACCCTACTCTGGTAGCTGAATATATAAACTATCTGCAGACTTTCTATTTCCATTATTGTCTGTGATGGAACACTCAAATGATTTAATGAAAAGGCAGCTGGACAATCTTTGCCATGGGTCAATGAGCAGAGTTGCCGCTTCCCAGTATAATACCTTCCTATTTCCATTTTTTTTCCCTGCACGTAGGACTTCCTCTCTTTATGCTAGCAGAAGGATATTCTGTATAGAACCATGTCAGTCATATTCTATATGCTTCCCCAGTAGTAGAGTTAGTGAAAATCATTGAAACCATGGCGTTAGGCACTGAAGCAAATGATTGGATACATTGGTTTCATTTCTGGCAAGATACCTTTTAAAAATATTTGTGAAAGTGCATATGAAGATATATTCTTGCTTATGAACAGATAATTTAAAATTAAAAATTTAGCATTAAGTTTCCATATTGTAATGTCGTTGTACTTGTTGTATCCAGGGGAACCTAAGAGTCAATGTGCAAGTGAGATGGACAGCTGTATAAATTCAGTAAATAAATCAGTAAATACTTTCTTATCTATATCTCTGTCTATCTTCTATTTTTGTCTTGCATATTAAGATTTTTATTAGGTCATTAATATATTGATTTGAAATTGGAATAACTGAAGCCCCAGTTATTCCATCCTCAGACATTCCTGCAGGAACTGAGGAAATTTGAAATATTTCATCTTTAGAGGTGCTATTTTTCTGCCTAATCCATTACTATAAAGGCCTAAATTCCTCCCCACTAATACAAATATCTGATCATTTAGTTCGCAGACTGTTAATCTGCAATACTGTACCCAGTATTATCTAAAACACCAAGCACCAGTGAAATCAATGACTTTTATTTCAAGTCTGGCAGAAAAAGAGAAGGAGGGAGGGAGGGAGACCAAGTGAGTGAATTGCATTTTGGGGAACAGATAAGTCAGCAGGTTTCTTTCTGTCACATTTTCATGCATGCAGCTTCCCCCAAGTGGCATAATTTCTTAAACCTGGACATGTTTCTATGTTTCCACTGAAAAAGGGGAAGGAATGGGTCAAACAGGCTAAAAAGCCAACTATTGCACCTCCAATATTACCCACAACACTGTACCATGAAATGTTATACCCTTGCTGTGCTTTCTGTCTGCCAGCACTCTACGTGAAATTAAGAGATAAAATCTCAAGTTGGTGCTCAGGATTCAACCAAGAGAATAGGGAAACGCTTGAGTGTTTTTGAACGGTGACCGTCATGCACTTGTTAGCAATGTTGCAGAACTGTGCTCCTCATGACCCTGTAAAACGTGAAAAACAGATGGGCATTTGTTCCTTGACAGTTAGGACACATAGTAATAAGTTCTGATTAATTGTGATTCTTCAGTGTTTATCTGCAAAATTTAGGTCTGCTTTTGTGTGTTGTCCACATGTATATATATATGTATATACAACACATGTTTGTGTAGCATGCATATGTACATGTGTATATAAATAAAAATGTATAAGCCTACTTATAGGCACATATATAAGTACATACACACATATATAAGCATTGAAATACACCTATTTGCAGGAACAACGATCACCTTCAAAATAAGAATTCCTTTGTACGCCGCTTCACTTAAACAGCTTCAAAACCTTTCTTTACAGCAATGCTGAAATAGGATAATCGCTGTGATCTTTTTCTGATCTACAGAACGTTGCTGGTTTGAACTTCTTTTACTACTGGAGAACTTACAAAATTGCGTATCACTGGATTTATTTTAAAAACTGCCACGGGTAAGTGCTAGCTAGCCCAAGGGGAAAAAAAATGCCAATAACAGTAACTCCTCCTCCTCCTCCTCCTCCTCCTCCTCCTCCT